GGTATCTTTCTAATAAAACTAAAAGAGTAAGTTGACAAAAAGGAACTTATCAATCAGACTCAAACCAGAAAAGGCTCTGTACAGTACGAAACAGGTAATATGCAAGAACTAGTTGATGCTCCTGTTCTTATTTAAGAACAAATATTCTTGCCTTGTGGAAAAGACTGGAAGCAATATGCAGGAAACACACATTGGAGTCTCCAAAAACATGTGGTGCTTGCATGTGAAGCCTATACAGCTTTAGGAAACCCCATAAATTCTCAAAAACACGCACAAAAGTGCTCTTCCTCTCACCTGTGTCACCTAAGCTGCTACAAGCAATGGAACTGTCTCCTTCAAAAATGAAAGGAATTCCAGCCTCCAGGAAAAGCATCAAATGCAGTTCGCAAACCATGATGAGTCATGTCAAGCAGTGCTCTCCCAGTCCTGCAACACTGCTACACTGCAGCAYTTGGATCACATTATGACTTGTTATATTTATGTGTCTTATGCAGACCTAGATGCTGTGTTCACTTAAGAAACTCAACTTTCTCAACTAGAAAAGTCTCCTTTGTGTATGCTTCTTCTTCTTTTTATGAGCTTCTTGTTTGGGATTTTTGTTTATTAAATCCTTAAGCCAGTGGAACACAAAGCAGATGTAAAGTGAAGTATGTGCCACAGTGTGTGCACGATTACAGTCTTCTTGCTACTTCCAATAACCTTTTCTGTGTCATTCCAAGCTCCATCTTTGTTCACTAGTTACTATTGATTCACTAATAGGATACAATACCATTCAAGAACAGAGTGATRAATAGATTGATTTACAAGTTAGTAGAGCATGCATCTTTCAGTATTGGAACTCAGGATATCTACAGATAAAATAACTTTGTGTGTTTTTATTCTCATGTATCCMATGTAAATTATCTGCTATTGTAAAGTAAGAGTACAGAACCTTCCCAGTACAAACACAGTGACCAGGAGGTGCTGTGAAGCCCCTGACTACAAAGCACTGTTCACAAGGAGGAAACACCACCACTTGATTTAATAGGACATTGGACATGTCGATATTTGGATAGCAAAGTAAAAACAAAAATCTGCTGCCACTGGTTACCCCAATTTGAGAATGGAATTTAAAAGTCAAGGCTTACTTAAAGTTGACCATCAGCACATTCTAATCAAAGTCATAAATGGTAGAGTATGACAGGAAAAGTTGTAGCCTAACAGTGTCCAGGTCATGCAGTATGTGTGCTGCAGTAGCATGTCACATAGGCTGCGTCTGATCCGCTCAGTGGTTTTGCTACCTTATTAAAAATAATAGTGCTAGGCTTCAAAGCAGGGTTTGCAGCTTGCTGTCACAGAAGCCTTCAATGAATAACCAGCACAGATCATACAATAAAAGTTTCAACATCCACAGAAGTAACAGAAATGCTGGAAATAACARGGGAACCAAACTGCTTTAGTGAAAGGCAATCATAGATATTTCCCTTAGAAATTTCTGTCTGGAGTTCCTTTAATAAATACAAAAGCTGAACAAAAAGCATTGCCGGTATATGCATCCAGTGAATAAACACATCTACCCTTTCCAGACACACTCAAATGATAATGGCACCATCATGTTCAAAAATGTTAAATCATGATTTAGAACTACATAAATCAGCAAAGGAACTTTAAAACACATCATTTTTTTTCCTCTCTACCCATCTTCCTCTCTCTATACACAGATATAGATAAAGACAGAGAGAGAAACAGACAGCTAAAACACTTTTATTCAGCTATTTTTTAAAATCTATCTACCAGCCATAATGCCCACATATCTTTATTATTGTTTATCAGAAATCATCTGCCTCTTTAACTCTTTGCCCCTTTCCTGTCATTTAAGTACTTCTCTGTTTACCATATGAAACTTGATTAAGGGCTGAAAAGGTATTAACTCTTTGTTCTTCATTTTTGACACAATAAAGTACTACTATTTCTTACTTGAGAACTGCTCCACTATTCCTTCTCCACAGATTTCTCCTATTTGGGGCAGCAGTCTTTCACTGCAATGAGTCTTGTGATCAAATAGAGATTACAAAATATGATATTCTCTTAGTTTTACAAAATCAGGTATTCTGTCAGTTAAAGGAAGGTGTTAAAGGAGTAGATGCTTTGGAGGGCTTTCATGCCTCTCTCAACCCAGCAAATTACACATTTGCATGGTCTCATCCAACCACAAAAGCCAAGTCACAGACACAGTTCTGCTACAGGCAGTAGCAGGGGAAATCTTCATCCCTTGTACACCTTAGGGTACTGAAAGCACAAAACATTATTCTTGACAGGAAATAATACACAGAGAGACATTAGACAGTCCTACTCAAASTACTAAAAGAGGGCCTTTTTACTTTGGTCCTAGGCTAGAAGGAGAAAGGCAGAAAGAGCCTGTGTGCTTTTAGGTGAATGATTTTCCACAGAGATGAAAATCAGGCTCTAAAATTCATTGCAGCTCTGAATTCCATTAAGAGAACCACACACCCCTYCAGAACTCCTAGGGATCAAGGCTTTAGCCATAAATATGCACTTAGCCATGCTTCATGTGACCGTTGCATGATGCATAATGCAGACTAACTCTAAAAGACAGATTCAAAAGTCTGTAGATTTAATGAGTATTCAAAGTTTAAGGACTTTGCTGATCTGGACGCTTGTTAAAAATGTTTACTCAGGCACCTGGTAATTGTGGGTACACAGGGAGACCACATGCTGTAGGAAAACATCTTTTATGCATGAGATGTCTATATCATTTAGAATATTATGTAGATCTTTGTTAAACTAAATACCAAAAGCTGAAACTCAAGAGCCTTCAAAGGCAAACTCTAATGAATGTCGCACATATACTTAAAACCTCCCTTTGATGAAAGTATGAAAGACTCCATCAGATAGCAGAGGGAAAATAGACTGAAATTATAAAATAAATCAGTTTTCTCTCATGATGAGTGTCCCCTGAAGCTCCTCTCAGCTTCAGAGGACCCCTCCAAAAGCAAACTGAACCTCCCCTCCAAAAAGCAAACTAAACAAGAAAAGGACATCATATGCCAGAGTGAATTAAAATATCTGATAAATGAACAATCCAATGGGAAATCATACGTATGCTCTCATGTAAAATGATAAAGTGGAAGGCTAAGGACAGCCCAGAAGATTAAAGTAATTTGGGGAATTTTGGTTAACAACCTCAAGCAGTACTGACTCCAAGGAAAAGGCAGGCACAATGAAACAGGCATCTCACACAAAMAGAGCTTACAGGGTCAAACCTGCAATTATGTTATGCTAAGAATACTGTTTCCCAGATTAAAAACATCTTTGTTGGAAGGGTTAATAAAATTATTTGCATATATAAGGCTTTACTTACTTTCATAAAATTACATTTTCTTGTAGCATTATTAGATGCTCATATGATCCAAGTTCCTGGCGTCCAAGCCCAGTGGAAGCAATTACTCTGTTTTGGAGGCCACAGCACCCTTGGACTATAATTTAAATTGCTATATAGTTCTCTGTCCATTTTTAAAAACCACACAATACTTCTTAAAGTTCCATGTGTCAGTGGGATTTACCTCATTACCCTCTGGTAAAATGATTTATTGTTACTATTTATTTTTACAGAAAATAGGAGCTCTAAGCGTCTCCTACTTTCAGTTCTAGTGCCTGCAGTACCTAGGAGGCACCAAGATGACCCACTGGCATAGGAAACCTTCCAGCATATGGCACTTGCTCCCTAAAAGTCATTACCTGTTGACATAYTTGCTCCCACAATAAATCCCTTCCAAACAGGACAGGATGGACAGAAAAAGTACAAGACAGACAGAACTATTTTCCTCCACTGCATTGCTGTCCTGCACTTTCCTTCAGTTTTTTCCATTCTTCAGCCCTGGTCAGAGCCACAGACCAACCTGCCACAGCTGCCACTAGTGACAACCCCAGGCTCGTTAGACTGTTACAGGGGAATTAATATTCCCTGCCACACGTCAGTGTCATCTACTTTTTGGCACATTTATTCCTAGTACYTAAGTGCTACAGGCCCTTTCTGCTTGGTTTCGCATCAGGAAGCTCATAATCACGGTGCATGTGATGACATATTACGTGCAAATCACCAGATCCTTAATAATTTTTGAGAACTAATGTGGTTTTGCCAAATGCTCAGGAGCTGCCTCCCCTGTCATATTGCAGCATCTGACATGACAGAAATCCCCATTTGCTACGCATAGAGAAACCTGTGAGCGCTCCTGCAAGGAGGTGGGCAAGGAAGAAGCGGGAGGGAGATGAGCTCCGTTTGCTGGAGGGCCAGGAGCTCCATCCTCCATCGCGTGTCCCGCCCGCGGGAGCCACCACTTGCCAGAAGAAGTCACGCGATGGGGTTGATTTAAAGCCCTCCACGCCACTGTGTCAGACAACGCACTCTGTGACAGGAACTGATTTAATTAATTCAAKAAAATGCCAACTTCATTTCAACTTCATTGAAAGCACCGTTAATTTAGCCCTTGCACCAAATTTCTGAGGTACACATACACACAATCACATAGACACTCAAAAGAGGATCCMTAAGACTAAATACAAGATTGCAAAAGGAGGCCAGAAGTTTTCAAATGTTGTTTCCTGTAAACTAATAAAAAGAATGACTGCACTTAAAATAATGTTTTTTCCATAAATATAAGGTCAACTGCTATATTTCTTACACTCTGAAGAGCAGCTCTAGGAAATAATGCATTGTAGGTCAGAGGTAAACCAAGTATAAACAAGCATAGTGACAATGTTTGATATGAACCAAAATAAAGACYTCATATAATACAGTGGGGTATTTTCTTTTGAAGAAATAAAAAGAACAACAAATTCCAATAGTCTGAAATGATTCTGTAATGTTCATAATCAACAGTACAGGTAATACACAGTATCAAATTATTAAAGCAGCTTATTCTAGTGACAGGAGAATTTTCTCTTCATATTAATCYACAGCATTTTTCAGACAATGGTTTCAGTCAATAATCAGAACTTACCATATTGATTGGGTCAACCGGGCCAATGCTGTTAACATAGACATCTGTTTCAATTACCGTAGTTCTCACTAAACAAAACAGTAACCATAATTAACCATATTTATATTATCAGGATTATTTAACCTATCTACTAAATACAACAATAAACCTGATTTCTTGTATTAAAGTTAGAAAAAGTAAGTCTCTGGTCTGTTGTCTCCTCTTTAGCCAATGAATCATATTTAAACTTGGCTTTATTTCACACAAATTAAATTACAATTATCAAGATAAATYGTTGGCTTCTTAATTAACTGCCATCTATGTTTTGTGTGCCCAAAGACACAAAAAATACAAAAGTCAAAGGAAAGAAAACAAAAAGAATACCTTCCTAAATAAAAATTATTTCTAAGCAGAATGAAGAAAATATCTGGAAAAATGTTGGTTATACAAGAAATCATAGGGCCTAGAAGCAGAAGTATTTACCAGTTGTAAAGGATATGCAGTGCTTTCTGTCAATTCCTATTTGAAGGTGTAAAACAGAAATAAAATAATTAACTTTTAGCCAGATTCCTTCATTTTATACAATTATACCACAATTAAGCATTATTAATGTCCTTTCATCAGTTTGATCAATACACTGCTTCACACACCAATTTAAAAGTTCAACAAATGAAAATTGAGTTGCATATTTCCATATTTATTTTCTTTAAACATAAACGAAACCACTCTTAAATGGCTGAAAAAATGCTTTGAAGATACCATCTTTTTAAAATGCAGGACATTTACAGAAAGGTTAAAATTATAAATGACTTCTCAGGAGTGCCACATGCAGCCACATGTGTCACTGATAATTCAGCTGCTTCCTCCTAACTGGTTTCTAGAGGGAACGGTGCAAAAGAAGGTGGTCAGGCCTTTGTGTAARAAAAGTCCGCATTTAAAAATCATCAATATATCAAACAGGGTTTTTGTTATTGATGTTGTTTTTGACTTGTACCAGAAAGCAAATAGGACTAAATGTAGACAAAAGAGGACATATCATGTTCTAGTTCCCAGTGGCATAAAACTCTGCTGGTCTTTCTCCCATGATTTAATGTTAAAATGAAGAACCTCTGCCCATCTGTGGATGGAAAAGGGAAGATATGTATGCAAAGAGGTAACTACTTTGATTTCAGGAGAGAGATGCTAGATGAACAGATTTTATATCTTTATACAGMAAACAGGGATCACCCAAGTGTTCTTTAACAAATTTAAAAACTTAAGTAACATAGGCTTTTTCAAATCTCAAAAATCTAAAGCTCTGCCAGGCAGATACCTTTCCTACATATCCAACAAAGTCTTTCCCCTGTCATTCTCACTTGAGAGGAAGTTCTTCCTGATTCCAAATCTGATTACTGCTGACCCTGAGCCTCAGAACATGGTGCACCAGTCRGGCAACACAAAAGACTTTGTGTGCAACCTCAGAGCATGAAGGTGCTTGTTCACCATCCTGTCCCCAGCATGCTTCACATAGACCCTGGAAACCAACTGATTTCTTGGAGGGGAAAAATAAATATGTCCTGAGCTGCAAATGKTCTAGGCATCTGCAGGGAAAGAACACAAGTTCCACAAACTATAATATCAGACAAAACTAAAATATATTTTTGTGCATGCATGTGTATGTGTGGATATTTATACACACACACATATGTGTATATATATATATATATGAGATATATATCTGAATAGTATATAGCTAGATATGTCACATAAACACATATTTTCTTTGATTTTGAAACCCTATATGTCTATGCAACAGCAAACCCCTTCGACTTGATCAGTGCCTGACTGGAAACACAGGGGAGTGGATCAAAGCTATCTTGCCTCTGCTCAAGCAATGCTGAATCCTGCATTTCTTCCATGTTAACAGAAAATGTTTAATCCTCCCTAGTTTTAGGAATCTTCTTTTTTTTTTTTTCAGAGGTTCAATTATTTAACCCTGACTTTCAGTGCTGGATAACCCCTTTATTAAAGCTCCTCTTTGGATATGAGTATCTATACAAGGTTTAAGGTCACTTCTCAGACTTGACTTCGGTATGCTCAACTGTTTAAACCTCATGCTGCACGTGGAACTCACATGCAGCCTGTTCAGCATTGACTTTAGAATTCATTCTATTGTTCCCAAATGCATCCTGACATGTGGACACCAGAACTGAAAATTTTAGCAACAGTGTTTTCAGTGCCGCATGAGTACTCCCAGACTCCTGCTCACCTTTTCAAATGCACAAAATTTCTCAGGACAATGCTTTGAGGCAAAACGCTCAAGAACTTATACTACACAAAATACCAAAGCCTTCCTCTAAATCATAGCTTTTCTGTGCAAAATCTCCCACCTTGAAATACAACTCACAAACTTTCTTCATTTTTTCCTTTTTGTCATCTAGTTCTTGCTTTCACACATCTCCAGCTTTACCTAAACTACATAATTGCTTTAGTAGTATGACCTCTTCCTTTCCAACAGTCTAAAGTCCAAGTGACTGAAAGTCACCTGCCAATTTTTCTACAGAAAATCATTGCTGCAGTCATGAAATACACTGTTATTCTCGATCAAGAAAATTTCCTCTGAGATCTCACTAAGACAGCCCTATCACTTCTAATTCATTATAAACAACTAAATTTTGAGGTCTGTTAATGAGCTAGCTTCTAATGTGACCTGTGCCAGTCTTATGCAGCTCCTGTTTGCAGTGAGCAGCATCTGATCTGCCACAAGGGCTCACCTCTAATACGTTAGATTTCAATTTGCCTTTTTTGTACTGCTAAGAATAAGACTATTAATACTATTATGTATTAAGAGTCAATGAGGAGTCTGACAAAGCTGGCTTTGTTGAAATTATTTTAATCAACCCAGAAGAGAAACAAATCTTAAGTTTGGAAGGGGCTGCTGTCTGATGTTATATCTTCAAAATCACACAGAACTTAATACTCTAGGTCTAGTAGACCTAGACCTAAAGAGTTGATTCTCCTCACATTCTTCAATTAGAAATGATTCTAGATCATGGAAATGACAAAAGGTGGAGAAAACATTCTTGATACTAATATGGTATCCATGTAAATACTACTCTTCATCTACTGTGCACGAAGAGTTAACAATGAAAGACAGTCCRAGAAGATGCTTCCATAGTGAATACTCCTCCTTTTATATTTAAAGTATTAGTAAGAGCCTTAAAAACATTTTAAGAAGCAGAAAGGCCATTAAACATATGTGCTAAGTAAGGCACAAAGAAGTGCTGCAAACTTGCAGAAGTTTCTGAGGAAGAARGGGAGAAAGGGCTGTCCCACTTGAAATATTTACACTGAGACACAACATGAGCCCAGATAGAATATAGTGGGAGGGCAAGAGGATGACAGACTGTGGACTAAACAGAGACAGAGAGAGAAAATGTTGCTCCGAGAAACAGCTGACCCCAAGCCCACACAAAAGCTGAAACATCAAGACAATACAGCAACCCTGTTTCCTAAGTGTTATTTAGAAATAAATAAATAAATCTGCACTATTTGGTTTCCTGCTTTGCCTACTTTTACCTCTTGCTAGACTAAGCTCTGATTATTTAAAAAGTTGAGCTGGTTTAATGTATGACCTAGCACAGGAACAGAGATGAGGAGGAGCCACTCTCAAGAGACAACTCCTGTAAAAAATTGATTCTTGTGCCTAGAATTCAAGGGGAAAAGTGAACTTCCCACCAAACAACAAGGCACAGAAAGGAGTCTTTCCTGGAAGGCATGGACAAGTACCCAACTAGGAAGACACGAAGGATTGAAAGGTAGCACAGGCGCTAAGTAACCTACAGACTCCCAAACTTTGGGCATATTTCATGTTCAAAATCTGCATTTTGAAAAATATTAACTCTATATTAGAAAAACCACAGTGATTAAAAAAAAAGTCAATGACAAAATTATTTTAGCAATTGCTGTCACTAACAAATATATCTTTTTCCAGGCTGTATTTATTTAAATCTGATTTTCAGCTTTGATCTTTGAAATGCCCCTGCCTGTTAGGCTGAAGAGCTTTCCTCATTTGTTTATTTTCATCTGAAACCATTATTATTAGTTCAAAAGTACCAAATCATGCACTTTTTATCGAAGAATGCCATTCCATTTCATTATTCCAATCCTTGAATTATCCAATAGGTTGTTAATCCATTCAAGTTCACTAGTTCCCTTACTTTACCAAATGTCTCCAGTTTGGAATAGAAGATTTAAGACATAACACCTATTTTCACTTGTCATGCAGTTTAATTTGAACTGAACCCACTTTGGATAGTTTAATCCAAGTTTATTTTCTTTGCCTAAATATTCTCTAGATCCTTATTACTTGCCAAGAAAAGCCTAAAGGAGTACTTCCTCTGGGTGACAAAGTAAAGAAATTAGGTGACTACTCCATTCAGGAATATCAGGAACCTTCCATTTATAATGGATGAGTATTATTATAATGGGTAATAATAATAATAATAACAACTAATGTAACAATACACACYCCCACAACCAGTTATATAACAGTATTATATGTCCCTGGGCACATGACTTTTACCACTGGCATACTGAGATGCAATTATTTACCTGGGCCCTATACTTGGATTACAACTATCCAAACTTCTCTACATATGAATTTGCCTATCTTCTTTGTTATTAAACATCCTCTTTTCCAACTTCTTAAAAAAAAAAATCTATCACTGATGATTTTCCTCAAATTGCTGACTCAAAAAAAAAAAAGGATATTTCTTTACACCCCACTAGAATAGATTGGTATTAGTTACATTAGCAATTAAAAGCTCTGAGAGATGGAATAGCAAACAGAATAATTTCCTTTAACATGGGAAGATAAAAATGGGAACTAGTTTGGCCCAAGTCTGAAATTAAAAGTGTGTCCCTTATACAATTAGGAGGCCTGAAGTTAAACTTATAGTGTCAGAAATTCCATTTTATTAATATATTATCACTCCATAAGGTTATATCTGTATTTAAAGGAATTTATACTACAGATAAGGGACTCCAGATGGTAACTACTAATATTCTGTACTGAGTAGAACATACTTCAATAATAATACTGCCTATATTCTCCAAGCTCATCAAAGTGTATTACATATAACGAGCTAAAGACTAGTAAGTCTAATGAACATAGCACGGGGTAGCAATTAACAAACTAGTAAAACTCATGGCTATTTATCAGAATGAGACACAGAAAATAACACTAAGTGGTTTCCTCCAATTAGATTTGAGTACTGCCACTGACTTCTCAACTTCTATTTGGCCAGCTATTAGAAAAAAAAAAAAAAAGAAAAGAAAAGACCCCTTTATAATCTCCTACAAAAACCAGCATGTTTATCAATGACACACCTATGCTTATTCTGAGATGCTGAAATTCTGTGTCAAGATCAGGAAGAGAAGAAATTCTATTCTGGTGTTCAAATTCGTTAATTCCAGACTCAAAAACAAAAATGCTGGTATTATAACTCTGCTTTGTAATTCAAGTGTAAAATATCAAGGTAATAATATCCCACAGAAGGGAAGGTAATTATAATCCTAGTTTAATAACCTTGTTGTACAAGTACTGGCATATACGGGGAAAGCATGGAAAATGACACCGGATTTTGTCCGATAAACCTGAGGCAGACTAAGATGAATTCACTATAGCCTGATACTGTTTCTCTATCTGTAGAGTACCTGCTGCATTTCTGGAGCAGCTGGACTAAATATGACACCTGAAGCTGGAATGTTAGTCTTACCTGGTTTGAAATTTCTGCCTTGTGRGACCTATGTCTGCAATTATTTGTTCTTCTGATTATAAAGCAAATATCTCCCAATGTCTCCTGTTAACAGTGCACTGAATGATACTCACACACCTTACATTCTAATATGCTGAGTGGAGGCAGGATCCAGAGAGCAAAGACCAGATGACTAATGATGATATGATAAGGCACCAGGGGAGCAAAGAAGTCTGTTTTCAGAAACTGATACCTGAATCCCATAATCTGAAAAGTTGCACATTGAGCTATCCACAAAAAGGCAGAGCTCTTGCACTATCAAGACTCAGTACATAAAATATACATAGAATTTCTAACAAAACAGAGAAGTAAGGTAAAATTCTTCAGTGACCCTCTAAATACATTTTAYATGTCAGAAGGAACTCCTCTTCCTCTGTTTTGTCCTTCTTTATTTCTAAATCTCATAGCTAAAGAAGAGAAATAGAATTCTCTTTTATTTCACCCCCATCTTCCAGCTAATCACTAGAAGGGCTATTAGTGGAGTCAGTTTATTCCCTCATAATCCCTTTGCTGTCTGTTGCACAGGCAGCCTGAAAAAAGAGGCAAGGCATACATCTGTCACATACTGAGAATGTAAGGAAAAATATGCTGAAAGAGCTTTTTTGTTGTCTAAATGTTCACACTAATCCAGTTAAATGAATCTGCAGGCAAAGGCTCAATAAAAACTTTATGGGATTCACATGTGGTTCTGTTATGACAGGGAGAGCAAAATTGCTATTCAACATCTTCAAGGCAACAGTCAACAGTAAAACAGAACTAAGAAATTTGGGGGAGAAAGCAATTTGTCAGAAGCTTTGAAGAGAAAGAGTGAGAGATTGAATCTCTCTGTTCTCCTACATAAACGAAACACAAGTGTAGATTGCAGTATTGTTTATCTCATAAGCAGCTTATGGACTTGCACTGAATTTCTTTGACAGAGAATGCCAAGTAGTTAACAAACAATCATGTCCTCCACCTCTCCCTTCACAGTTCAGAAAACAAACTGAGAACGAATAAATTATTTTTCCTAGTCTGATCCACCATGCATTCAGTTCTCAGGAGTCTGCCAAGTTTTCATGAACTCCATGATTTCAAAGTAAGATTCTTCCAAATAACACTTATGTTTAATAGTTATAATCTAACTTATGCTTTCAGTAGCAAAAAGTAAAATTGMCTTCCAACTAGCTGAAGCATTTGAGTAATGGTAACACAGACTCCCTTCCTATATTCCTCTAGAAAAGATACAATCCTAAATTACACAATTTTACTTTCTATAATAAAACCAAAAAGGTATATTCTAATAAATTTATACAAACTCAAAATCAAATTTTTGACTGACCTTGACTGTCTTATATCTAGAATTATTTCCATCAGAAGACCTTAGAATAACAAAGCAAAATATAATTGTTTTCAGTGATTTATTATATATTGCTCATCACTCCAAAAATGCAACACTTCACATAATATAAAGAGATCACAGTATAACATAAGTAACACTTACATACAGAATGTTATTATTTACTACTTCCAGAAAGTGATCCAATTTATTTCTATCTAGCTTGATACAGTCATTTTTAAAAAGGGCACTAAACAGATTTTCCGTTCTTGTGATGAATCCCAGATTGTCTGATGAACCAGATAACCTCTCGTTCTTGTCCGCTATTTAGTGAATTATTTTAAGGACTTACCCCCAATATCTGGCCGAAGTTTATTGTCATATCCTTGAAGTAAGGAGTCCAGTATATGAGTCACATCCCCACCATGAATCTTTGGTGCAAGGACCCATGTTTTGTTCACTGTTAGATCTTCATCATCTTCATCATCTGCTTTATCAGCTCTAATTGTAATTGAATAAAATAAAATGAAGGTTATAATTAAACAGTGAAACAGATATGTGAAGATGAAACTGATAAAATAACGAACACAATATTTGAGGTATTTAATAAACATTCAAATGTATTTGGTGACAACAGAAAGAAGTAGGCCTTATTTAAAACACCAACATTTTGTTTTATAGTAGTAGAGGGTGCATGCTAATAAACACATAGTGCAAGCTAATAAGCACATTAAGAGAAGCATTAAAGCATCCCACATTCAAGTCAGAAGTCAATCTCAAAAATGGTACAGATCTCACTTTTTTCTTCTTCTTCTTTGAAACACTAAATGGAATTCCTAGGCCTTTAAGTCTTTTCCAAAACATGTTACTAATATTTCTAAGAAATGTTTAATTACAGTAAAAGATACCTCCTGGCATCAAAAACATTACTAGATTTTCTCTCCTTATAGCCTCTGTTGTAGCCATTATATGAAAGCTATTTCACCTTTACTCACTTAACTCTTCATATTTTAAGAGAACAAACATTATTTTCATATGTTTTAACTAAACATTTACAGCTAGGAGATGAAGCTGTGCTTTAATAAAGTATCTGGATATATACATGGCATATCATATGTATAGTATGTATACATCTTGTTGAGATGATACAAATGCACAAGGAAAACACTTGCACACATTTATTGCCTAGCTTTTAATTGGGTAAGCAAAAATACAGTTTACTTGCTATTTATTATTTTTTATACGAAGTCATCAGGAAAATGGCAACAGATTGGTTGTGTTTGTGGATTAACTCACACGGTCACTGAAAAGTCAAAGAGTGCCTGGAAGTAGTTGTCTCCCCATTTGAATCAAATGAGTGTGGACTAAAACATTCCTCCGGTGCTAAAGTTTGCAATTTCTATTACTCGTCCAACAATTTTAGGGAAGTGCTATGGCTTCAAGTCAAGCAAAGGGCATCAGACTGATAGCAGTAACTCTGACTGTCATATAACTTATCTTCCTTCACATGGAGACCATCTAGCAACAATTACATAGTATATGGGATTCATATAAATCACTTTCAATGTTAGCATAAGCACAGATATTCCAGGAAAAGAAAGGAATTAAACTTACTCTCTTTACACCAACTTGCACTGCACATCAAAGTGAAAAAATTTRTTTTGATGTTATTAGAAATAGATTTGCAAGAGCTTCTAAATGACAGAAACTTACACAGCTATCAAAACTAACAGTGGGATTTTTCAGCACATTTCTTAAAAGAATGACCACTACAAGAGGATTCTACATGGAGATGTTATGCCTGTATGGGAGAAGGACAGAAAAGTCAGGAAATGACAGAGCAAGAATAGGAATTTTTATTCTCATCCCTTCAGCAAATGCACTAAAGCAGTCTGTATCCCTAAGACCTTGCATCGCTTTTCAAATAACACTAGTAAGTCTCATGAGTATGACTCCACTTCGGGCTGTGGAGATTGTTCAGGGGTTTTGCTGCTTTTGCTCAATTTGAGAGCCTAAGAGGGCACGTCCCATAATTCAAGAGGTTTCCAAAAGAAACCAGGACTTTCATACTTAGCTTGTTACATACATGTCACAGATGTAAGAGATGGAAATAACATGCAATCTAAATATGAGGTCTCCTGTCTCCCCTGGAATGGCAGTGCTTTAATTCTTCTAAATCAAAATGCACCGTACAAGAGTTAATATCTCTGTAGCACTACACAGACTTCACAGAAATGTCAGGCACTAAATATTTGATAATTCCCACTTAGATGGATTCCATTAATAGAAGCACTAAAAGAAGTAGGAAGGGAAGTTTTCTAGATGTTGCCCCTCTCTTTCATGTTTTGCTACATGCTGCCTTTTTTTTCCCCCCACTTGTAATTACATAGCCTAATTATGACAGAAATAGGCTTAAAGTTGTTATCAATGCAGAGGCTCTCCCAGGCCTTCCCTGGGGAGTCAAGATAATGAGGAGTAAAACTGAGCAAATCTCTAAGAAAGGAGACATGATCACAACAAAACTGACCTCTTCTTCTTCCCCTGTAGGCCTCCACGCAGGTAATAGCAGAACATAGATGGAAACTACCCAAGCAGGGTCCACACCTCAGGATCAGCACAATTATTTGCACAGAATTTGAAGAGAGAAGGGCACAACTGTGAACATCCCTTTCCAAATATCCACCATATTTCAATAATTTTTTTTCTCTATAATGCTCCTCTCTACTTTTCTCACTTCTGCTATTTAGTGTATTTAGATATACCTGGAAAAAAAAAAAAAAAGAAAAAGAAAATACCACAAGTGTGCTCCAGATTTTCACTTCTTGAAATACTGTTCTATGGGAAACCTTTGGTCCTCCAGCTTCAAAACTCCAAACTACAGACAGGTACACAGTTTATGTAAGCTTTGTAAAGTGTTAATGACCTCCTCTATTCATAATGCAGTAGCAGGTGGACAAAGGAGAAACAAAGGAACTACTCAAATAAAATTTATCTAAAAACACACAGAGACATTGAGAGGAAGCATCTAAATCCACTTGGTTGGTTAACAAGATCCTGTGACTCACTAATCCCTCAGTTAAATCATCAGAGGAACCAATACAAATTGGAAATCAATGTAAGCAGGTTTGAATACCACACAGTCAGAGTGAAAGGGACTATTCTCTGTTCTTCCTGATCGTATCTTACTGACTTTTTCCAAGATGAATGACTGYGTCTAACCCATCCTGCTACCCCAGATTACCATCTTCTTAACACTTGCTTAAAAAGTGCACAAGAAACTATTATGCCTTTGCAGTGTTAACAGCATCCTGCATCTTTTATTTGTACGCCATGGTAAGTAACATTCAGGGGCACAATCAAGACAAGACAGAAATGAAAGAAATGATGCTGTCTGGTGAGGAAGGCAGTAGACTATACAGAGCCTTCTACACGCCCTCCAATGAAGCAGTGCACACTAACTCTTAATGGTAACAAACCCCACCTTCACTCTCTTTGACATTAGTACTTTCCCCTCGCACATTCCCAAGAAGAAAGGTAACCTTACTTTAAGGGAAGATTCTTTCTCCTTCCAAGTTCATTTAAAAGCTATTTCACTATATACAGGACATAATACTCGATTCTCTCTCTGTTTTCTGTGAGATATCATTTGTTTCAACAAAATTCACAATAGATCTTTTTCAGAATGTCTGGAGAGAGAATGATTAAGAGCAAGAATATGACATCAAATGTTACAAAAGTCTCTGTTCCACAGTACAATGTTATGGTTGCAGATAACATTGCAACATATTTCAATGATTTTATGAGTAAGAAAGAGACTTCCTTTCTTAACGTGTTTGTTATAAGACTCCTGCTAAGCTCAAAGTCAACAGTAACTCTATGTATACAGTTAATAGTAATTAGGCAAAAAGTGCCCTAATTATGCTCTCTGTCCTTCAACTAATTGGAGACATTACCATGACTAATAAATCCCTGAGCCCAAGTGACTAATGATTGAATAAGTCTTTTCAACATCAGGCAACATGCTCATCTTCAGACATTAATATCATAGGTCTTTGTTCTACTTCAAATATGAGAGAAATAACAATCAGATGAGCTTTAAAATGCAATTAACATCTGTCAGGTTATGTAATGAAGCAAAAAAAATGGATATATTGAGAGTGCTCATAGTGCCATTTGCAGCATGCACATCATTAAATATTACTTGTGCAATTCCACGTACAGGATAAACTCAACAGAGCTAAGACTCCATTCAGCTGCCCACTTTCAGGCTCCTATTCCCATCCAATTGAAGAGATCAATCCCAGGTCTGCTGTTCTGTGAGTGAAGTGATTTATCAGCCAAAATACACGCAGACAAGAGGAGGGAGTCATTGCTTCATATTCCACAATCGAGTAGCTATACTGAACTAGAGAGTGTAACCTACACATCTGCTCCCAATAGGCACTGCCTTTAAGAAACTGCATCATAACAGAGCACTACACACAACAGAAATTGGTCACAACATGATCTTTCCAAGGATAAGGTTCACAAGAGAAAGGTAAAAAACACAGAAGACTCCACAAGCAATAAGTGCACTCTCCTGCTTCTTACACCTAAGGTCCTTACACCTAAGGCAGCCCATACACTTTTGCCACAAGATACATAAGAAGCTAATGAAACACTAAACATGCCTTAGAACAGCTGTTAGTTGCTGCCTGGGCAGCCCAGCATATAACACTTAGGTATAAGTTTTTCAAATCTTTAACAACATCACAATATGGTCACTAACATGCACATCCGTTTATTTATAAAGAGACTGGGGGTAATTGCAATTCTGAAATTAAAAAGGACTTTTTAAAAAATGTGTTATGTGAATGTCTAGGCAAAGGACTAGGTATAAATGAAACTCTGGACTCTAGAAGGATGGTAAGCTTAGGTACTACCTAAGACAGAAGAGACCATTACAGAAAGTAAAATATGATTTCAGCATGGTAGGATTGTGCAGTTATTCTTATGTGACCTTTTTAAAATACATATTTAAATATGTATTTTAAATATATTTATATTGGACCACCCTAAGGTAAATAAGGACCCAAAACAGACTTGCAGTATCCTTCAGGATTTGATCCTGAATAGACTTTGCAGTATCCTTGAGGACTGGGAGTCCTAAACATACACAAACATTTTCAGAAACAGCTATAGCAGCAGGTCCAAATAGTCATAAATATTAGAAGAGGCTACAAAAGGAATGTTTTCTCGAAAGATTTTCTTGAAGGCTTTCTCTCACTGCTAACTATCGATGCTGGATAGTTTAGACATCTCTCCAGTTTCAGCTCCCAAATTTGATGAAGGACGTCTCACTTATTTTCCTGTAATATCAGYCCAATGGAACTTCTAAAGAAGTGAACACTTTTGCTTTTCATCATCATCAGCTTCTTCACTGGTAAACTTTATTGATAGCAGAAACATTCTAGAAAAATAATGTAACTGCAAGCAAAGAGATGACTCTTATTTTGAAGAAT